CCCCAAAACCCCAAAACCCCATTATGAAGGCATAAAAATGATTTTAAAAATATAATAATTGATTTTAATTGGGATTTATATATGTCAAATTCAAAATACTCAAATTAGCTTGTAAAACTTTTGCTAACAAGTATCGATGTAAATTTTATATAAACTGATAAATTTAGGATGTAGAAATGCGCAGACTTAAGGAGGGGTTTTATGGCATAATGAAGCTCTCAAATGCAGTTAAGGAAAAGCCAGAGGCCAAAACTCAGATCATAGAATTCAGCTAAAATAATAAAATAGAAAAGCCCTAGACTGAGGCAATAATTGTGCTCTAAACCTAGCTTGAAGACGATGTAAGTCTCGCAACATAAGAAGAAGTGAAATCTAGTAACTAGAATCTCTAATAGCAAAATCAATAAGCAATCCTCAAATTAGATGAAATCAGCATTTAGTTTGACATGAATGATAAAAATGAAGAGACAAATTTAAACAAGCAGCCAGAGGAGGAGAAAAAGGCTCCAAGTTACTAACCCGGCAAATAGAGAGCAAAGTAGAAAGGCAAAAAAGCTCCTGCACCTACTTTTAAGAAAATGCTTCAGCTTAAAGTTACGAATGAGAAGGGAGTGGAAGAGAATGATATTGAATTACCCCCAAGTTTGACATAAAACTCTTTGTAGTCTAACTAAATACCTCCAGAGGATAAGAAAGAATCATAATTGCAATAAAATAAACCAGACTTTAGCAAGGAAGAGTTAAAAATATCATCTTAATAGGATTAAAAAATATAGGCACCAATATAAATTAAAGATTAAATAGGGGAAACACAGAAATAGGAAATGATTATTAGTCAAATAGTAAAATAGGAGAAGATTTAAATATAAATATAATCAACTAAAAGCCCATCTTAAATAAATCAATAGCAACTTCAAAATAATTAAGAAAGTATAGAAATGATCAAGATATAGAGTAATCCTGTTGTTAAGGAAATTGATACCTTCATTTATAAACCATAACCCTAAAAGTAATACACTGCTCTGGAGAGTAAAACCCTTCTTTTAATGCATACTATCAAAAGGACATTGCTTTTTAACAGTTTTACAAGATTGATAGATCAATCATTGAAATACAGTAATGTAGTTTGCAAAAAGTCTCTATAATAAATCCATTAAGGATCGAAAATTCTGACTAAATTAAAGGATAAAAGAGACTATACTAATAAAAAGTCTTTTTTCCAAAGGTTTATAGTGCTAGCTAATCTTGTAGAGTCAGACTACCCGAAAGATCCCTAATTTGCTCTGAAATTTAAAAGACAAGAAAAGCTTACAAATATTTTCACAGCCTATAAACAGAAATGCACAGTCTTTATTAGATATCACTTTATGCTTTGGAAATATTTGACTAATATAATCAAAATTAAGAATCAATAGGATTAAAATGAATTTGTAAAGAATGATAAACTGAGTTTAAAAAAGGATTTTATTTAGTAATTGAAGCAGCTTAAAGACTTGAAATACACATTTCCAAAGTAGTATACAGGCCTTATGCAAATGATAATAGTACTCTAAAAAGTGATCATCAAACAATAGAGAAAGAGTTTTGCTAAGATTTAAATGAATAATAATTTGGCTATTGATGAACATTTTGATGTAAGTTTATATCTATATATTTAACCTCTTAGCAAATTCAAGGTAATCTGTCTAATCTTGATGAATATATCAAGGTTGTAAAGCAAAACAGAGTAGAGGTTGCAAATAATCCATAGTATCTAGACAACGAGGCTTATATTAAGCATTTGATAACAGTTTCAAAGGAGGCAAAGGTAATCATAATTAGTATTAATGATTATAAAGGGGTTATATGAACTGTTTTAAAAAGTTGTGCAGCTAAGAGAGTCAGAGAAGGTGATTAAAAAGATCAGCTACACAGAAGAAGAAATGCCTAAGAAGTTAAAGGCAGTAGTAAAGCTGATCTAGATAATTAATAAGTTGTCTTATGTGGATAAAGGTGTGCTAAGAAGACTTAGGATATGGCACTCAAGGGGTTTAAGAGAGGAGATGAAAATTTTGTGTGCTAGTTTGTCAAAATGCAAAAAGCAAGAGACAAGGATTAATCTTATAAACTTGTAGCAGTTTTTGAGAGTTAAGATTCAATACTACTTCTATCAATGGATAAATAAAGTTGCAAGCTCTGCATAGAATAATCAGAATCAGCAGCATTATGATGAGTTTATTCAGAGAAGTGCGAGTTCTAACCAACTAAGAATTAGAAGTGCCAATAACAAAGACGTAGTGAGTGGCTCATTAGGACCTAATCTGAAATCAGTCACTTCAATGGGAATGAACAGTAATACTTTGAATACTCATGCTAGCAACAACAAAAGAGCGACTCCTTAGTCGTACTCCATTGATGAGACTGCAAACAAAGGCAAAATAGCTCAGTCTTCCTAAATGAACAAAAGGCATCAACAAAAACTGATAATGGGCAGTTTTGACTTTGACAGCAAGTACAGTGTAATCTAACCACCTGGAAACCAAAAGCCCAAGCCAAACTAAATTAGAATGACTAGCTAGGGCAGTATGAACACATCTAATATTAGTGCAAACATAAGCAGCAATCATTCCTAGAACAGACATATTAACTTCACTCCGATTGATATTGGGGAGTAAGAGAGGCTTAATGATATCAAAGCAAGATCCTTATTTAAACTTCTTAGAGTCTTAATTGCAAGAAGTGGGTAAACTAAACTCTCTAATCATATAAAAACCATTACAAACATTAGCAACCAGCAAGCTAAATATAAAACTGTGTTGAAGCTTAGCCCTGAAGTCTAGAGTCTCGTCTCTGATAGTTGCAAGTATATATCTCTAATTGTATTCAAAAAATGGCATATGATTAGTCATCATAGAGGCAGGATTATCCTGGATAAACAGCAAGCAATGATTAGACTAGTATATTCCTTCATTAACTTAACTATAATTACTATAGTTTAACTGTCTCAATAATCAGCAAAGACTGATTCAGTATGACTCTGTATTCAAGATTTTTAAGTACAAGAACTACGTGCAAAAAAGAGCTAATAATCTGAACAATCAGACTTAGTATATATAACGACTGTCAAACATCTAAGTTGGTCTATTTGTAAGTTCATGATTGAAGATAAATTTAATTTAGGTATTCTAGAAAATCATGCAGAGATAGGCCTTCAAAAGTCTATTGATGGCCTTTTAACAATGGAGATTTTTGAAAGTATTTACAAATCAGAGGCAAAGCATATTAGAACAGAGTTTTAAAAATCTGAACTAATCCTTATCAGAGGTATTTACACCTAAAAGACAAGGCATAAATAAGTAGCCCTATGAGGATCCACTCATTAAGGATAAGCTAAGAAAGCTTAGCATAATAAGCGGGACTATTTAGTTGCAGCATCTAATTGATTAAGAAAGCTAAAATAGGCAAATAGGTGTTTCTATAGAAAAATCATAGATTCTTAAATTCTTCTAGCTTTGGATTTCGGTGTTGCGTGTAGATAAAAATATCAACAAAAAATTTGATCAGAAAAAAGAACTAAAGGTCAAAGTATTAAGCAGATTACAGAGACAGATGTCCAAAGCATACTTAGGAAATATTAACTATAGCTTTTAGAAATGGAGGAATTTAGCAGCTAGTAAAAGCTAAGGGCAAGATGTAAAGGTAGAATCGATTGACTAAGGGATCATACAAGTGCAAGCCTAAGTGGGCTAAGAACTTGAGAGAACTCTTTAAAAACAGTAAAAGCTAGCAAAGACTCTTAAGAGAGAAAAACTTCTGATAAACTTAGTGTTAAAATATGAAAGCTCTTATAATCCCTAGCATTAAAAGAAACATGTGCTGGATTTATGGGCTAAAAATGTTGGGATAATGATGGAGTTCGGAAGAATTACTAAGTATCTCTAAGAAATCGACATATCAACTAATGAAAAAAGAGATCTTGACATGAGAATAGCTCAGATCAATGATGACAATGAGTAGATTTAACTGAAAATGCGAAACTTTACTATGACTATTGACTGTGAGATGTGCAAACAGCTTATCATCAACAAAGCTCAAATGGTGGCACAACAGCAAAATGAGAGAAGATAAAATGTATGGGATATGTATAGCTAGAATGAATCAGAAGTTAAAAGGATTGAAGATGACGAGGGTAGCTAGTGGAATGAATCCTCTTATGATCATATCAGAAGGATAACTTCAAATGGTGGGTCTTCTAGAAATCTTACAGCTAGATCTGGAAAACTTCAATTTAGTAATAGGAATGCGGACTCGAAAACGATCTAAGAGGATATTATAATCAGACAAAACGAGGAGTATAAGGCTCAAGTTCAAAACAACAATCAGGCAAATCAGCTAAACTATTAATAGGATGATAATGGCTCAGAGCAATCTTCAGAGTTTATCAGACTGCCTAGTGACAATGGAGAATCAGCACCAAATACTGGAAAGTAAAACGCTTCCATGAACTTCTTTGAAAATCAGTAAAACTTAAATCAGAGGAAAGGTACTTTTGGTAAAATAATGATAGATGCAAACTAGCCTCGTAGGTCTACTCAAGTTGTAAGAGTGTAAAAGTTTGGAGACAAAGATTATGTCTAGGGAGATCAGGAGGAGTACCAAGATAAGAGCAGTGAAGGAAGCAATGAGACTAAAATGATGAAACTAGATCAGTCTCAGTTTTCATAGATTACCTCACTCTATTAGAAGCAAAACAGTACAAAGCTTATTATCAAAAGTGATGACTCTAAGAGTCTCTTTTCAAGATCAAGTCTCAAATTAGTGAACAATCCTCGATCTTCCCAATTTCTAAAGGACTCGGCTATTAATGAAGAGGGCTTATCCAATAATATAAGCTAGAATCAACCAAAGTTAAATGCTCAGTCAAGTTAAGTAACTATAGGGGGCGTCTAGTCAAGCAATCACAATGACACTACGGAAATGAGAAGACTAAGCAGCTTTAATACAATGAGTGAGGGTAATATGCTATCAGGCATGGGTTAAAGCATGCTTTAAGACTAGATGAGATTTTACAATAAGAGGTAAGTTATAGCAGACTGGGCTGATCTAATTTCAATTTAGAATATCGAGAATATCAGAGGCTGGCACTATAATAGAAGAAGCTGATCCTGAGTAGTTTGGCAATGATCTGGTGTTATAGCTTGAAACAGAGGTATAAATTGCATTTGTTAACTCAATTTATAGAATCAAGAACTTAGGGTCAAAGAGGATAATCTGAGAATTCATTACAACATGTAGGTCTAAGAGCATCAAATGCAAAAAGAAATGATGATGCGAAAGATTAGAGAGCTTCAGAAGCACAGAGATATGTTGAAAGCCCAAACACTGGGGAGCTAGATCAATCACACTTAAAAAATATACTGAAATATCAATTCAGATTCAGAGTTTAATCTTAATTTCATTACTCCAATTTAATTAAAGATTACAGTGACATGGGGTTTTGGGGTTTTGGGGTTTTGGGG